TTTTTTTAACGTTTATCTATCTTTACCAATATTATAAGGTTAAAGAATTTGTATGCTTGAACGCGCTAATATCTAAAACTAATAGTCCGATTTCTATAAATTTAAATCGATAGATTCATATTCACTTGAGACTTGAGCTTTTTTTCAAATCTTATAGGTGATAATTAATAATTATAATGATTATAATTCAACTATAAAATAACGTTTTGATTTCTTAAGGGTGTTGCTCGTATGAAAATTGAAAATATTAGATGCATGGCTGCTGTACGCCCTATTATCATACTAACTGACTACTACGTAGTCACTCTAAAAAACACGACAAGATATAAGGAAAAAGGTTGTCGTAAAAATATGACAAAAACACCGAGTTATTTGAACCACTTCAGACCATAATAGAGAGTACAAAACGCAATTAATGACCATAATTTATACATCTGCAGTGTACAATTTTCAGATCTTCGCTATTCACTCTGTATAATATACACCATACACGTTTGTGGGAGGGAGCAGCAATCGCCGCGCAGCAACCCTTAGGTATCGATCGATCGTTGGAGCCTGCGTATCTTCGCCCTATCATATATATATTCATATATCAATACCCGTTCGTTAGACGTTTATATATTATATACTATTATAGCCAAGTATGGCGGATATACCTCAAGGACTCCGATGCATGATTATTCTTTGCTGCTATTGCCTATGCTCTGTATAGATTGTAGGTATATTTGCAAAGCAGTCAATAACGCTGACACGCTGTCTAGTGTCTACTGAAAAATCCAAAAATCCATTTTCTGATAAATATATTATATTATTATGTAAATCAGCTGTGATAATACGTTATAAGCACCATAGGCACATATCTATTATTATATAGTCTGTTTTGAGATATTCTGGTTTTTTAATAAATATTAAATTTTAAGTAAACATTAGAATAAATGTAGAAAAAGCATTAAATACTAGAACTATTATAGATGGGCAGGTACTACTATTACTACTTATAGGATTAGTAATATTTAGTAATAATAGCTGATCCTGCACGGCGTTGGTCGAGACAAATTAAATACCTGTGGATATACCTCTTTTTAAACCCTGTTAAAATATGTAGGCTGCACAGATTCTGTGCTAAAATACATAGAAGAGTCACTGCGCTAACAAGCGTATCGCTTTGATTATAATAATTATTATTAAAACCAAAAGCAACCAATTACAAACATTTCTACCAATAGCACCCCCCCCCCTGAATCCACTCCAGCAGTATGATATTAATATTGTGTATCAATGCCGCACGAATGATATAAAATATCTCAACCTAAAAACGCAAAAGCGACGGTGATGTATTTGTTTAGCCTGTACAAAACGTCTTTATGATCATAATTCTACGACGGAACTATAAACTATAAATTATGTGTGTGTTGACGCATTGGCGGATCCAGGGGGGGGGGCAAAAGGGGTATACCCCCTCAATCGCTGTATTTCCCCTTTGTGTTACACTGTGTTGAGCCAATTTTTGTAATTTTGGCAATCCCCCAAAATAAAATAAAAATTAAGCCCTGGATCTGCCACTGCGGTGATGCATTAAGGGGGGCTCTTGAAGGGGAAACTTAGCACCCACAAACCATACATGAGCGATATACCTACTATATTATTTTTATACATTATATAATATGTATAGGTACATAATTAATACATTTCCCCTGCAGACTTTTACTGCATGGTCGTATTATACTAATGTTTTTAAATTCTATACGTAATAGGTAGTATGCAGCAAATAAACCAAATTATAAATGAGACCCTCTAAGGATTTCGACTAATTGTGCCACTCTGCAATTTTACTATGTTCGAAATCCGATAGGAGATAAAATGGAAAAGTAATAATAAAAGCATCCATAGTGCAGGTACCTAAGTTGCCACATTTTCACAAAATTATTTGAAACAGAAGTTACATATTAAGTATTAATTTGTATGCCTATTTTGAGATCAAAGAACACAAACATGCTTTTATGGTAGGATTTGATTAATTACTTGTAAACTTTATCTCCGTATAATTATTATGTTGATATGTTTTATACAATTTTAAATACAATTTACTTTACAGAGCAAGTAGTTGGAGTGTTGGACCTAATTACGTAAACACATTCTTCTGTACATATTATATTATTATATACAATATTCTAATTGCGAAATGTATTAAAACTTTAGAAGTATTTACGGATATTAGTAAAATAGTATTTGTATTTATTAATTATTGAATTTATTATATACCTATGCATTAAAAAGGAGGGTAAGTGGATGTCGCTCTGCTGTACAGTAGGTTACAAGTGGGTCACTGTATAATGGATGCTATTAAATTTGAATTCAATGATAAAATATCATTGTATAAGAAAAACGATTCTGAGCGAAGACGGTATGTCAGTCTAGGTTTAAGACAAATTATATACATATCTATGGTATTAAAAAAAATTGACCTATAATAAATTCCAAATTAATCATATCACATTATCACAATATCCATTAGGTACTTATAACACGTTATACATCAACATCAATAACAAACCCTGATACTATCATAGATATATAATAGTACACTTTAGAAGTTTCAAGTAGGTACCCACGAATAATATTATATAATCACAACAAAATAACTAGGTTTTTTAATAAATGTAATTTCGTTAAAATTTGAACATAAAATGACTATAAAAATAAACTGTGATTGTATATTTTTTAGATTTTTCTTTAAGAGAATTAACTACTTATGTGGAATCTTGTTTTTAATTTACAATCCTTAGCTATAAAAATTGAACATTTTATAATTTATTAATTACGATGATTAATAATTTTCGAGATTTTGAAAAATTCTGTCAAAATTCGATGTTTAAATGCTTATAAAAAAAAATTGTGCCTATGTATTTTTAATTAAATTAATTAAATTATTACAATAATATCAACTAATACTGTAACAATATATCAGGAGCCTTGTATTACATTTTTACTCTTTTTGGCACAACAGATAAAACTTTATTGATATTCATAGAAAGAAAAAACTAAAAAAAAAATTGAAAGCTGTAAATGTCCGTAAACAGCTCAAAAGAGTCAAAATATTATCGAAATCGTATGGTGTATAGGAAATGCTAATATAAACATTCAGTGAAATTTTCATGTATATATAGTTATTCGTTTATGAATAACAACAAAATAAGGAAATCGCTAAATGAGAAATCGAGTGAATATCCAATGTTGTAAAAATTTGAATTTCAAACGCTCATAAAAATTTAATTTGACTTTCTTATAGAATTTTTTTTTTTGATAAATGTAGGAAATCTTATAAGGAATCTTGTATAACATTTTCATATCTTAGATTTAAAAAGAAAAATTTTTATGAATTTCTAACTCGAAATAATTTGCAAATTTTCGTGATTTTTCCATATTTTGTCATTTTTGAACTTTAAATGCTTAAAAAAAAAACTGTGACTATCGATTTTTAATATTTTTCATCTGCCTTTGAAACAATATACTAGGAGCCTTTTATTAAATTTTCAAGTTTTTTTAACAAACAAATAAAATTTTATTGATATTTCTAAAAAAAAAACTAAAAAAAAGGAAAAATGAAAATGTCCCTAAACAGTTCAAAATAAATCAAAATGTTATCTTGTATAGAAAATGCAAATATAAACGACCAGTGAAAATTTCATGTATCTACGGTCATTTGTTTTAAAGTTACACCAAAAACCAAATTCAATTTTCTGAAAAATCGATTTTGCGTAAAAATTCCCGTTTTTCCTTAATTTGTCTTTTGTTTTTCTTGGCGCTTTTGAAAAGTACTGGGTATTTTAAATTTTGACCTCCCCAATGCACCAACGATATTCACTTTCAAATCAAACAAGATACCTACTGAAGTTGAAAATCGAAGAATTATTTCGACTACTTATCGTGTATACAGACACAAAAAAAATAAAAAAACACACATCATTGTAAAATCAATACATTCATCGTTTCACTCAGAATCTAAAAATATACAATTGAGTTAAAGACAATGTTTTTTTTTAACATTCTACCTAAATATTATTCATTATTTATTGTACAGTTCATAGTTTATTAATATTATCATTGTAAATTAGTAAAAAATTTTTTTTACAACTATAGGCATACATGAATAAAGCCACAAGAAATTCAATATTTACTGCAACATCGACCCACCACACATGTGCGGATTCAGTCGGGGGTGGTAGGGGTGACTGGCCCCACACCGTTTGCCGTATTATTTAAATTTAATATTTTGTGTTATCCTATGTAAATGTATTGTAATATTATTCAGTCACAAATCGTCGTATTTTATTTTAATAACACACATTTATAAATTGTTTATAACAATATATTATGACATATTGAGGGACGACGACCGTCGACTGCCAGCTGACGAGTGGCTGCGCGGCTGAGCGGCTCATAGGGTTTTTTCTTAAAAATATCTAAAAATATTTTCCATATTCGATTTTCAGAAATATATTATTATCTATATTATCGATTATTGCATATTTATAATATGTATATAAATATATACTCGTATTTACCAGTAGGTAAATAGAATATATATATTTAGATATTTATAATCTGCCCCTCCCGTTAATGTGGGCTGGATCCGCGCCTGTCACCACAGTTGTTATGACTTCCTACTTAATAATAATTATTATGATGTAGCTACTATTTTGGTGTGTTAATATGACAGTATACGCAGTACTTAAGGACGATGTGTATTGTGTACAGGGGCAGTAACCATATAAGGCGGTTGCATAATGCACTAAATGTAAAATTATTGTATTGGAATATTCTGATACTTTTAAGACTAATTTGAGAATTTCGTAAAGAAATATGTAAACTATACCTATAACCTATAAGCTATGCTACCTAGGTCTGTATAAAAAGGTTTTGGGAGAAAAAAGTTGTGTGTATGATTTTTTTCCCACCACTAAAAAAACCAATCCACGGAACCGCATCCGACAAGCTTTTCAAAAGGCTCGGTAGTTGATGCGTTTCCGTTGCTTGGCGCATAGCTCGTTATCGATGTGCAACGAATTCTGCTTGACTTGCAGCTGCACACCAATACGGGCGATGGACTGTTTGAGACGTCTCCGGCACACCACAGATTCGGCCATCATATTTTGTAGACTTTGCACGTCGTGTTCCAGCTGGACCACCTCTTCGTGCAGTCTCAGTTCCAGCTCATCCCGGCACAGTTCGACGCCCTCCCTGCGAGTCCGGTTCGACAGCCGCGTGTGCGCCAGCGCCAGGTACGCCTCCCTGTCACCGATGGTGTTTTTCAGTTTTTCGATTGTTTCTTCTACTTCTTCGACGTTTTTGACCGTCTGTAAACCGGATTGCATAATATACAATACTGCTTTAAGTTTTTTTTTGAGCATACTACATAGCCACATAGGTAGACGAACATATTATCAGTGAAGGCAATACGATACATGCACTTCGAGTCATATGACTTTCGTGATATTCCCATCGCTATTCCACTTCACTCAACCAATATTTAATCATTAACAGGATTTTTTTCCTTTTCAAAAACATATTAATTGGCTATAAGCAAACGAATATATTTGGAACGTTGTACGGCACTATGGCCTTTGTATATTAAATACGCATCGGGAAACCTGATCGGGATCCCATAAGGGGATACCTAAAATACCTATACTTCTTATGCGTAATACTTTATGTGCATCATAAACATGAAGAATATTGACGGGTCGGCGTTAAATGATACATTAAGGCTTAAGTTATGAAAAAAACTCCTTTAAACTTTAAAGGATCGGTCTAACTTTTTAATTATGGGATTTTCTACTTTTTTTAAACAAAACCTAACCTTTTTTATGTTTGAACCGAGAACTGGGGATGGAACTACTTTCGTATTGCTTCGACCGAAACAAAACCGAACCTACCTCACATTTGCTAATGTATCTTCCACACTTTTCAACATTTTGGTGTAATTTTAAGGGTTAATAGCTATTTTATTGTGCTATAAACTGACACACACAATCAAACCAGAAATGTACAAATTATTTTTATTACATTTAAAAAAAAGGTAAACATTTTATTGTAAAAATTACCAATTTTGAAAGAAAAATCGCGTATAACCCAAAATAACACCATATTTACTATTATAGTTTAATTTTTATTTTATTATTCTACACTATCTACAGAATAATACCTAGAATACCTTGAACATTTTGTTTTCCTAAATTTTACTTCTTTCATCTTTGTGAGTACATGCCTCATCTAATAAGCTCATTGTCCAGTAAGGCGTTACTTAGAGCTATACGCAAAATACTTTCAAAAATGCTAATTTTTGTCAACTTAAATTAATAAAAATAATTTGTACATTTCTGGTTTAATTGTATTTGTTGATACTTGATAGCATAATAAAATAGCTTGAAAAAAAAATTACGATAAAAAGTTGAAAAGTTTTAATTTTTTAAAGATACATCAGCAAATGTGGGGTAGGTTCGATTTTGTTTGAAAAAAGTTGAATTCTCCCATAACCAAAAAAAAAATAAAAAAGTTACACCCACCCTTTAAAGGGGTTTTTTCAAAACTTAAGGTGAACTATCATATGACGCCAGCCGGTCACTTCTTCACGGGACACATAGTGATGTGGTAAAGTGGTAAACTGAAAAGTATAATTGTCTGTGAGAAACATATGTGCTCACATTTTAAACCAAAGTAATTATCATTTATCAGCATCCACTATACGCGATTAGGAACATAATATAATATACTACATTCACATAGGTACAAATTGAATGTGTTCAGAAACATACTTCGTCTCTTTGTTTGTTCAATTTTTCAATCACTTCAAGGTATTCTTCCACTCGCAATCTAAACGCCAAGTTGATTGCGTCCGATTGGCCTACCAGATCGTTGAACATTTTATTCAGACACTTGTCAAAAAACGCACGAATAGGTCGTCCGTCCACTAGTACTTTATTGGCCGCCGAAATAATGTCTAAAGTGAATCGATCCCATTCCGTGGTCGAAATCGTACTGCATATAGAATACATAGATATGGATAAATATAATTAAGTGTGCACTCTATTATATTCGTTTATTGTATAAATAACTAATAAGTGTGTTCAATGATAAAGATAACTCAAAATATTTGAGACACATGACTTTGAATTTGAATCATAATTTTTTTAACTGCATAAAGGACTTATAATTTACTACACTTATAATTTCCTCTTAATTTTATAATGACATGATTTTTTGAAACTTTAACTTGCTGTCAATTAGTCAAATTTTTAAATATAAAAAATGTATTACGTTATATAAAAAAATAAAGTAATAATTTATATTCTAACTCAAAGAGTGGAGTTGTAATTCAAATATTTTTGCTTCACTTTGCACACTAGGAAAAGGATAACAAATTTGAATTTTTCAAAAATGTGTGTAATATACCTAATATATTTCTTATTACGCACTAAAAAATCCAAATAAAATTTAAGGTCATTCGCATTTGAAATATTTCATGTTATATTAATTATTGTTAAATACACTATAATATATATTATGTGTAGCGACTATATGTAGCTAACTGTTCGGAGGGTAATACCTAAATCAGCATCGGCTAATAACTATCAATTTCTTTAGAGAATAACACTACCTACATACAAGCATCAGAAGTACCTATTATTATTTTATAATTTGGAATACTTAGCTAAAATAAGACTATATTATTAAGTACCTACATCATAATAAGAACTATTGATAGTTTCAAAACCAAAAGATATTGCAGGTTTCCGAAATATCACGGGTACGAATAGACACGTAGATACGCGGTTCACCGTAGTACCGTGCTCATCAAATGAGTGACGATGGTGGGAATAAGGGATGCACCATGCACGATAACCTCCACGAATGGAGCAAACTTCATAGCAACGAGAAAAATACTCACGCAGGTTTGAAAATGTTTTTGTTGTTCAAAATTGATAGTTCGACAGTGTTTTCATTGAGATTTTCGTTGTGCTCTTCAATTTGTAACGCATTTTTTTTACAACGCAAATCCACAGCCAAGTTGTACACGAAAGCTCTCAGTTTTCTGATCTGCAGAACGACCTTATCTTGCAAATCTTCAAGCTGATCGTTGATACCCAAGATCAGTTCGCGTTCCCGCAATAGTTCTTTTTCGACATCGTCAAACACCAAGTCTATACTCTGACGACCATTTCTGCACGTAGGGACGTATACAATTATAGAGAAATGTTTTTTGTTTGCAGTTTGAACTATTGATTGATAGTATTTATTACACTATACATTTAAAAACATTTAATAATTTCTGTATGTTTTCAGTGCCATTCAGTGAGTTTTTAAGATTTTAGCATATTTATTTTATATTTGGGAGCAGACTAACTAAATATTTCTAAAATATTGATGTATAAATAACACATAAAATAAATAGTTTTAGATTCCGAGCGGAGTTTTTTCTTTGAAATTACCAAAAGTTTGGATGAGTGGAGTAAAAAAAGGATATTCCATGAAAATTCTAGATTGAATGTCCATTAAACATTTTTAGAAAACCATTGATAAAAAGAGAAGAAAATCATTTTTTAATACTAGTGTTAAATATTACAATTCAATAACTGGTTAGGTAGGTAAATAAAACATTTTTTCTTTATCAAAAAAACAAAAATTGTAAAATAATGTAGCTAGTTAAATGGATCACACTGATCTTACACAGACATTGCATATTACATATCAATATATCATGTAGGTAATTTTAAATTGGATTTTTTCAATGTCATTCTCACCTTAGTTTAAGGCACTCAGCAATGACATCAAGAGCGTCACCGACAAGCAGTTTGTTGGCGTTTTCGATGCGCACCTGATAGCCTAACAGCAAACGGATTTCTTCATCCAGATCGTATTTCTGTTTTTCAATTTCCCTACATTTGTACTCTATGTCTTTGACTTTCACCTTGGACCTGTGGTCAACATCCAACTTGTTTTTCATCACAGAGTCCTTAGTCTGGCCGAATAACCGATCAGCTTCCAGTGTCAACCTTTGGGCCAACTCTCGTTGTTCCTCTGCCGCTGTGATTTCCTGTTCACTGTTATATCGCCACTCTGTAGTTGTATGATAATCATAACCGTACACATTGCGATAATTATTACAGTTCATGTTGATGAGTGGTCAAACATAAAAAAGATTAAATAAATGAGATCGTATATTTTTATGTTATTCTTTTCTTTTATTTCTCAAGCGAAACAAGCTGATGTCAGATACAGTTTATTGCTTTGTTTACAATAGTTACCATGGTAATAAGGGTGAGAAGGGAGGAGCATATTGATTTTATTATATAAATTGAGAAAGTAAAAAATATAGAAATGTACATCTGTCCTTAAAGTAAATAGAATAAGAATACAATAACATTTAACATTTCATATTTATAAAAATATTATTATTTTTTTTTTTAAACAAAATATATATTATATTTTATATAATTCAGGGCACTATGAATTAAATATAATCTCTGAATGTAATACAAAAAAAATAATAATTTATTTAAAATTTGTACGCTTATTAGTAAAATTCTTTCTTAAGACATACAAGTTATCACAGATTAGTTCTGTTAACCAATACATACATTGGCAAGAAACAGAATAAAATTTCAATTGAATAGATCCAACGAGTTTAAGTACATCAGTATACATACATATAAATAATAATACTATCAAGATTTTTTGGAATAAAAATCATAAAATTGTAAGGGTGTACATACAATTTGGAAAAAAAAATATTAGGGATTGAGGTCAAAACAGTGTTTAAAACATATATATATATGAAATAATAATAATAACAATAATATAAATTAAAATAAAAAAATAATAATAATAATAATAATACTAAATCGAAAACTTTACTATTAGATTCTATACGAATCTATAGAAGTTTAACTTTATTTTCGACATTTAGAGATTGACTTGTTGATATAAATTTCTTAATCAAATAAATTAAGGCTATATTTAAGGAGATTCTAATAATAATTTAAGAAAAACAACCACACTTCACACAGTAATCAGACCATCAATTCATAAAATACTGTAATTGCAATATTTGTAGGAATATATTATGCCCCACTCCCCTTTAAGTAAATGTTATCAATAATATTTAATACTTAAATATAAATTACAATTTTGTTGTTTACTATACTTAGAAACATAATAATAACTTAGCTTGGTGTATTAATGGACAGAGGAATTTGAGCATGAACTTAATAAAGCTCTAGTTTTATAAAGTAAATAATTGTTTTTTAGTACTTAGATCATAGTTAATTGAGCTAAATCAAATCCGATTTCTGTTCTTTGTTCTTCAAGCACATTGTCAAGAGTTTTTAAAACATTTTCCGGCAAATGATCCAATAGCATACGAGGCATTACTCTCAGTTCTTTAAAATCTTCAGGTGAGGCCCATCGCATTTCATAATTATATTCATTACTGTTTGTGCCAGATTTTCTATAAACAATCAAAATATACATGTTTATAGTATATTACATATTATTTTAAATATAGCTATGAAATATTTGTGAAAAGTGAAAACGAAATTCCACTAGTTGTTTAGACACAATGACACATACTTATCAGCTTTTTTCTGTTCTTTACTTTTCTTTTTCTTAGTTATGTGTAATATATGACCAGGTGTATACAAACGAATTTTTGAGTACCTTCTGACAGCTAATTCCTAAGAATAAGATCAATAGGTTTTCATTATTAACTAATATTAAAACTTAGAAATTTCTAATAAAATACATATTTCTTATAAATTATATAGATTTACAGGGCATAATTACATTATAAGTAGGTGAAATAGAAATTATTTGGTCATTAGGATATGATGACGTTGTAGGGACTAGATGATGATTACTAATGGTATCAGTTGGGAAGCCATCATTCTGTGTAATCATAGACAGAACAGGTGAATGCGTAGATAGTAGTGGAGAGTTATGCATTTCTGAAGTAGTCCGATGACGCCATGTAGATTCAAGGTCCCTCGATGGTACGCCAAATAATGCATAGCCAAAGCCATTTAGAAATACCCGGTACTAAAAACAAAATAAAATGAAAAATTTATCAGAAAAATGTACATACCAACCTTGAATCATTAATAGATATCAGTTTTACCCAAAAGTATATATTGAATAGTAATTCTACATTTTCAATATTTATCAATAAAATCATATATTTACCCAATGGAATAATGTAAATTTAATATGAATTATTAAAGCCTAATCTTACTTTTGGTAATCTACATGATTGTAGAACTTGTAACATGTTTGTACGTAAATCTTCAGCATTATCAATTGTCATGTGCATAACCATATCATCACCAATACCTACGGACAAAGTGAAGTCTTCAGCTATTCGTGCTGCTTCCCGACTCAATAATCCAGCTAAAATCAATGTTTAAGATTTAATTAATAATTTTAGAATAATGTATTCAGTAACTGGGTTAATTACCTGGTGTAGCAAAGGCATACACTTTGAGATTGGGATAGAGTGGTCGCATATAAAATGCTAAGAGCACTGCAGTACCTGCCCCTAAGCTATGTCCTGAGTATCACACACATTAAACATTATTCATCAATAATAAGTTAATAATGCTACATTTATTCATGGTTAAAATTGTAATGTTCATACCTGTGATTACAAGGTTGTATTCTGGAAAATTGGTATAAGCCTTTTCTATAACATTATGATCTTCTAATTCCTTTTTAATATACTTTGCACTGCATAACATTCCTTTATGAGCCTGATTTGAAACAACGAATAAATTTATATGACCAATTTCTAGTTATTTCTATGATTTATTAGTATTACATAGCTGTCAGGTGGAACACCATAAGCGTCTAATTTTTCTACTATGGCAGTCAAATCCGTAAATATATCTCGCACTGACAATGATCCTCTTATAGCAATTACTATACTACTGGTTTCATGATCAACAGTTACGAAAAATGGTAATTCAAATATATGGTTGACAAATGAAGCAAACAAAATATCTTTAGAATGTAATTTTGACAAATATCGAATTGCTGCAAAGTTACACAGACAGCAGTTATCCTCTTTGACCACAGTTGGTTTAGTTCTATACAAAAAATTAATTATGATTGATTTACTACAGTTGAAACAAAATTGAACAATTTACCTAAAGCAAGCGCAGCAAAAAAACTTGGGCATCATTTTAAATAATCCTGTTATACAATAACGATAAATCAAAAACGGCCAACCATAAATAGCAACAGATAATTGGAGGTAATGCCTAGCTTTTTTAAGACACATCCAATTTGGTTTTCCAGTAAAACATTCATTTACAACTGAAAGACAAACATTAAATTGTTTAAATTATTTTATTTATAATATGATTGTATTTTGACTTACTAGAGGTACAATTGTATCTTTGTTCAGCTAAGAGTGCAAGTCGTCTTTGTTCTCTAGACTCACGCTTTTGTTTTACTCTCAATAACACAAAACCAGCAATAAAGTCTGATGGTACAATATCTGTATTTCTAAACATAGAACTCATCAATCCTAAAAATAAGTTGATAAACAAAAATGTAATTGATGTCTTATTTATTGAAATGTGTGAATTAAAGTCTACAATACTGACCGGCTACTTGAGAAAACGCTTCATGCGAATGTTCATCTCTAATCAGCCAACAAAAGAACCATCTAAAGCGTCTCACCCAAATACGAGTGACTTTTCGGTGTAACACCATCTCTGTATCTACATTACCATTGGATCCTTCTTGAAGTTTTAACGATCCAACTGGATCCAACACCATGGCTAGTACAAATATCAAACCTCCCAACATAACCCAATTGAATAGAACTCCAACTAAAATAATCAATAAATAGTTTAATCATTAATACATTAGTATATTTTAATAATTAAAATTAGTAACACACAATGAATTATATTTACTTTCCACTACAGTACTCGTAAAGTGTTCATTATCGCATTGTATACAATTTGTATAGGTCCATATAGTTCCAAGCACATTTAATGCGATCTCTGGTAAGAGTAAAATGATCCTGTAAAATATTAAATATATTATATAAGAAAATACAAGTTTGGTCGGCCATTCTTAATAACTCATACTTGGCAACTAGTAGATGTGGAACGACACGTCTAGCTTTTGTGTCGTATATAGCACCCTGGGCACTCCGATTCACCAAAACCATCACAAGTAGAATGATTATGGAATGCATTGCAACTATCCCAATCAAGTAGACTCTGACCAAGAGGCCGCCAGTCGAACAATTGAATGTCCATTGATAGTAGCGACACAACACACAACTCATCAATGTCAGCCTATAAATCACAAAATCAACTTAATCAATAAATTATTAACAACTAAGGCACAGTAGGTATACATATTACATAGGCTATGAATACATTTTCAACCTTAAAATAATGATTATGTATTTATTAGTAACCAGTGGCGTATTTAGTTTTATTGGGGGGGAGGCGACACTAAAATTATTAGTTATTATACAAAAGCTTATATTCTACCCTATTGAATTTACCTCGAAGTTTACCACTTTTGTGATTGATGAGTGATGACCCTTTTTCTAGAAGAAATAATGCTTAACATTCAATTTCAAAGGAGATTTATGGTTAGACAACTTACTATAAATTAAAATAATATTTATATAGTATAATATCTTTAATTTGGTAATAAATTCAATCCCGGATTAAGACCTTCAATACATGGTCCTAACCATGTGCCTTCACCTAGCATGCCCGTGGTGGTGAACATGGTAGGTGGGTGACGGGTCCCAAAGCCTGTTAGTTCAAACAAGAAAAAATAAATATATTCTTTTAAGTTTGGAAGCTAATATAAAATGTACAAATTACCACTCAATGTAATTTTAAGCCGAGAAAACTATGGGCCCTTAACATATGTGGGCCCCAGGGACGTGGCCTTCTGCCCGCTTTATCCCGGGCTTGGTGATAATGTAAATCGTCATGCGAGTATTCGAGTGTTTATGTGTAAAGGTTACTGATCTGACTACTACGATGTATATACACCCATTCCCAGGACATACAAACAAATCTATTAGAAACTCCAGTCAGCTATAACCACAGAACAATAATATAGAAGCGACACTCGATCAGCTGACCGGGTATCTGTATCCCTAGCCCCTACGGAAGTACAGTTAGACTCTAACGTTGTACAGTAACGTGTATCTCTCTTAGTTACGAAATTAAATAAACGGAAACTATCCATTGACCACGGACGATGCTATAATTATTAAAATATGAAAACATGTACAATATAAAAAAAAAAAAATTTGCCTTAACATCATAGTATGTAGGTAATTATTACAACTATATAAAAACCAATTATTCTTCAAGTTATGGGGGCATTCGCCCCCCATGCCCCCCTAAAATACGCCACTGAATAGTAACATAGTAACATTAGCCGGATTAGCCATTTTGGTATAATATTTTAAATAATGGCGCTACTATTGTTTTGTAGGTACGTGTGCAGTTTTGGTTTAAACAAGACGTTTCGTGATGTGCGCATCATAATTTCGACTTATTGTTGTCTTTAAAACCGCACAACAAAGCCGATGTCCGGCAACAACCATTGTGTTGTCAACACGATAAATAATTCAACTACCTATTAAAATATTCACGGGCGAATCGATTCAGTGGCAATACCTTAAAACCGTGGCTTATTTAATCGATCGTTTCTAACCGAAATTGTGTACAATAGTTTACAGCCGTCTTTTCAAAAACGTGTTCGGTGTTCATTGTTCCGCGAACCCGTTGATAGTGAAATAGACAATAATATTAATATTTATTAGTTCCGAGTGCCGACGACCGACTGTTGACTACTTGTCTGGCGACTACCCAAGAGCCGAATACTCGAGTGACTGAGTGAGCAGTAAGCACTGAGCTGCTCTCTATACTAGTATACTCTTACTCAGACTTCCCACTTCCCAGATACCACTCGACACATTTCAGGTTTATAAATTATAATATAGGTACCCCCACTATGTATATTAGCTATCAGTGGTCAGTCTATGTCCATCACTATACCGGAACCAGACGCCGCGCGCCGTAGTCTCGAATCTTACGTTACCGTCTGTTCCGGTTGAATGCCCATGTCCGCCATCGCACATTGCTTTCCCACTATAGGTACATTCAATTAAAGTATTATAATATTTTATTTTTAAACTTCCAAATTTCCCTTCTTGTATGTATATTATATTATAATTTATAATGACATGTAGACGCTTCGCTTTTCCTTTAATCATCTTACCTGATGATATTTTCCGGTATTTTTTTTAATATCTGACACATGCTTTCTATAATTCAAAAAGTATATAGGTTTAGGTTTATAACAATGTAAAGTGATTCACTTGATACTATTTAACTAATTTATATATATATATATATATATTATATTGTATACAACATTAAAATAGGCAGTAATAGCGATAAGCGTATGAAGTTAAGCAATTTATTTTATATCAAGGCAAAATCACGCCATACTATTGCGTCTTGAACTTATTTTTGAGTAAATACTAATTTTTTAAGAATTGAACAGTAGGTGTGAAGTGTAAGCGATATCTATTATTCAGCAGTTAATCTTATATGTATATATGAGGCCTTCAAGTAAGTCACTTGTCAAAAATAATGGCTAGATAATTGGTTGTGGTGAACTTCATATTTTTTAAACCATTAAAAGTTATTTCAACTTTGGCTTATCAAAAGTTTTGTTTCACTAACTTTAAAACTCCATTTAGAGAACCAGAGTCGGATAGTTCGTTTAAATATAATTCAAGTTTTCAGCAGGAATAATTGGATAGGTGTAGGATGCAAATATAACTTACCGTTTACATTGTCTGTGACAGTAAGAGAACTAAGAGGGTTATTAAAAGTTGGTTGATCTAAGTACACGATAAAAAGAACAAGAGCAAAATCACTGGTTGAATGTACACAGCTTGAATGAGAGAAATGTAAGATACGTATGATCCAACACATACAGCGTAAGTGAGTTCAGTATATGATTTGATAACAACACTAATACAGTAATATGATGATTGATGAGGGTATGGGGTCTGTTTTAATTTGAAGAGGAGATCTTAGTGACAGACACATTCCTATGTAAATGTCTTGTGCAATATTCCTTGTATTAAGAATCGGTTAAGAGTTAAATTTGGCGTGAGAAGTGTCAGCTACGAAAATCAAATTAGGAATCTCAAAAAGAATTATATTTCTCAATAATCGGATAAATGTGTTTTAATATTTTAAAAAAAATTGTGGGTATACTAAATATTACGATTTTATTTTGTATTTGTACATTATTTCACAAATTGTATTAGCATAAAAAAAAAAGTTGTAAATGAATAAATATACGTAATATACTTAAAAGTTAAATAGTGTACAAAAAAAAAAACGGATTTAAGTAACTAACATTTGGCTAGATGTTTTAAAAAATATAGGTAGGTACAAACTATAACAAAATAGCCTCAGCTATCTGTGTTAAAACAAACAAACAAACAAATTAATTATGGGCGCAAGATTTGTGTTGGCCAAGTAGTTACTTAAGGTAAATCTAGTCTTAAAAAATTCACAAGAAACTTAGGGCCGTATATCATAGCCAATGCTTAAGAATAAGTATTGCTTAAGGTATACTTATGACTCAAATGAGATTCATAAACGAAACTTTGGCTTAAGAAAAGAAAAAGTATTACTTAAATTAAGGTTGGTCGAGACCTAACTTATTACTTAAGCATTGCTTCTAGTTATCATCACAATTTTAAACTATCAAAATTAGCTTAAGCAATACTTATTCTTAAGCATCGACTATGAATAATAAGAATTGTTCGAGTTAATAAATAATTAACAAATATTATATTGCATTTTAAATATAATCGTCATTATAGTCAAGCCTTGAGGTTGATATTATATAAATTGTAATTTTAATAAAAAAAGTAATGAATTTAAATATAAATTGAAACGGGTATATTTACAAGAGTATAGTCACTCACTTTTGAGAATTTCCGTGATTCATTTATTATCAGCATCAAGTCTGAAAAATCCGATCCGTGATCGTTTGCATTTGACGTTAAACTATAGGTGGGCGTAATGGCGTATTATGCATGCAGAAAAAATTGTCGGTACGGGACAGTTTTATTATTAGTATAAAAATAATGTGTATTATGCTATCCAATAAACTATACAGGTTTCTTATTATAGTCACACTAGCATGTGTTGTCTTCGTCTTACACACGTAGTACGACATAGACAAAACGCGTTTACGCAGTCTGAGTAGAACACGCTGTATTTTGGTTCTAGAGTAAAAATACCTATTATTAAATTGAATTGTGACAATATTTCTGAGGGCAAGTCTATGCGTTTTTTACATTACACCCAATATAACGTTTATTATATCGTTAAGAAATAGAAAAAAATTCAACATGTTCAAAATACCCTTAATTTTTCAAAATTAAAATTCTTAAAAAAAATTCAACGACTTTCCCCCGAAATATTTTCACAATTCAATTTTATAATAGATATTTTTACTCTAGAACCAAAATTCAGCGAGTTCTACTCAGACACCGTAAACGCGTTTTGTCTAAGTCGTATACGTGTGTAAAGGGGGGTTCATACTACACCGTGTGGTGTAAAATATAATCATGATATTGCGGTATCGTTTGGTAACTGAGGTAATCGTGATTATATTACTCGACACGGTATAGTGTGAACCCGCCTTTAGACGGAGGCAACACATGCGGGTGTGACATCTTAAACACTAATTAAACATAACTGATAATATCGCATATTCGCATGTCTCAAGTTTCGTGGAATTAATTTAGATTTTAAAATTAAAAATATACGTAGATACCTACTTATCTTAATATTTAAATATATCAACCATAATTTCACATATACTTATTTTAATTTAAAAAATGTATACGAGTATTCACATCTAGTCACACTGATGTATATCTTTCTTCTACCTGTATATGTTGGTAATATAAATTGATTTGATTATATTTTGATAATCATGATTCATGAATAACGAATAACATTCTATCAAGTCGGAATCTTAAGAGGATGTCACACACGCATGTGTTGTCTCCGTCTTACAAATGTACAACATAGCAAAAACTGTTTTGCGCTGAACAACTTTTCTCGCACCATATATATTTGTTGTAGAACTACCAAATTTTCACAACACGTAAAGAAGAACTTTATCTGTGCAACAGAGAGCTTTTTTTTTAATAGCACTATCATTTTTTATAAGCAAATGAAAAAAACAAAAAACCAAATGTTTAGAAGCAAATAAGGAACTTTTATTATATTTATGTTACCTAAAATGTGGGCAAGCTGTCGCATAGACATTTTCCACCCTATATGTTCAGAAATTTTGGAGCCACTACAACAAACATAGACGGATAAAAGTTGTTCCACGCAAAACAGTTTTTGCTATTTTTTACATTTGTAAGACCGAGACAACAAATATGATTATTATTATTACTTTT